TGCGCAGATGTGCATCCGTGTAGAAGGTCGTGAATATTAGTCTTACTAGAATCTTAACCTGTTCAAGTTTAGAGTTAACCGTTATCTTTCCACCCCATCCATATAAAATACCCCCTAACGTAACCTCTGCTTCGAGTGGCCCTCGGGCCTTGTATAATAACATGAACATTTAGACGATACTGTTAAAACTTTACTGTTAAAAACAAAACAAAAAAAATCTGTGCACATTAATGTAATTTCACTGTTTGATCTTATTTTTATCCGGACTCACATGAGTCCGCCAAATATTATTTGTGGGGCAAATGTTTCAGGAGTTGTTAAATGTTTACAGAAAGACGTCCACACCTCGCAACGAAAGATCCCCTCAATAGGTTTTACAAAAATGTCCGCGGGACTTCAAATTGGATTTCCTTCTGCTCGGTCGACTGTGATTAAGATCGGAATCATTGAGGCTTGTCCAACCTTTTTTCCTAATAGGCCAAATTAGAAATTTAAGTATATTCACTGCGTCACAAAAGTACTTTATATAAATATGCTTTTAAAAAGCTTAAAACGTTGTGAATATCAAATTTTAATAACAAATATACAGGGTGTTTCAAAAAATTTGATATCATTTCGCAATCTAATAACTTTGTTAGATCTCCTTCAAATGACTTCAAATTTTAATAGCATCTTTATGTTTAATGTTTGTTTTATGTTTTTATATCATTATGCTTTTGTGTTTTTCTTATTTGTATTTTTATGTTCTTTAATCTTTAATCTTTTTCTTTACAGGTATAAAAATGCTATTTACTAGAAGAGAAAAGGCGTTTTGTGTGTTGGAGTTTGCTAGAACACAGTCAAACAAGACTGTGCAGCGTGCATTTATGAGAGAGTTCTCTAGAAAGTCACCAACAGGAATTCAGATTTGGAGATGGCATAAAAAGTTCAAAGAGGAAGGCTGTCTGTGCAGAGCAAAAGGATCCGGACGACCACAAACTTCACATTTGTGAAATCGTTCACATAATCCACATGCTTTTGAATTTCTAATTCAGATTTGTAAGAATAAATCTTATGATCTTCAACATTAATACTTTTTAATTTCATTTGCCTTAATCATGTACTTTCTGTGATATTTACATCTCAAAGGATATCAAATTTTTTGAAACAACCTGTATATAATTACAAAAAATACTTTATTATTCACAGTAAAAACACAAATTATACATACACAAAATAAAATAAATTCAATGTAATTTTTTACATTGTTTTCCTTTTATAATATTGTCAATATATTCTTTTATAGAACTAGTCTTTATTCTAAGAATGTTAGCTAAATGGAAATCATTCAATCTAAGTTTTGATGATTTTCATGAATGAAAAGAATTGTTCACAGAGGTATGTACTACTATGTATTTGTATTTAGCTCTTTGCTCTTGCCTCACGCACCAGCCGGTATGTTTCGGCAAAGGACTTTGCTCCCATTCCCCCCCCCCCCTTTTTAATGCAATGGGAAAGTGAACCTACTTGCACAATCTGAGAATAATTTTCTCGGCATACGTTACTAAAGTAAATGAAAATATATACCTAAAGATTTTAGGGTGCAGTGGACCGCATGAAAATATTAAATGAACCGCAGTGCGACCCGCAGTTTGGATGTCCCTGCACTAGACTATTGTTATACTGGAACACACCTATTCTATAGTTAATAAACTCCCCCACTTATAATAAGTAGTAGTAGTAGTAGTAATAGTAACGAGTCGCTAAGTCAGTCGCTCAGTGAGTTGGTCAGTCAGTCGATGCCGGACGACCGTTAGTCGGATACTAAAGTATCAGCGACCACTACTAGATTTCTCTGCGTCATTACCTATTACATCAAGTTCCTAACTGTTGTGGTAGGATCCACCTAAGTGGAGTACCGACCTTATAAATATGGTTAGTACCGGGAAGAGAGGGTGGAATCAAGAGATTCAACCAGAGACTCTGCCCGACTGCGACTCAGTCAACACATTCTCCAGGAACGGTCTTACCAGGAATATACAAAAGACTATATGTAAATATTGTGTACACTTTCTTGTTTCAATACATTTTGTTCTAAGTACATTTTGTGTTGCATTATTATTCCATGCTTTAGTCAAGTTTCAACACTAACGTTTTGTACGTCGAACCTATTTTAGGACCGACTTGTGAAATACAAGCCTCCACTGTGAAACGACTCTACAACAACTATAAATTCACCACGAGGATGATCGCTTTAGATACATCAAAGGCCTTTGACAATGTGTGACATAGGTGGGGTTGCAACACAAATACTCCAGCTATGGAATCACTGGAAGAATTTTCTCAATTATCATACCGTTTCCTAACAGGTAGGTCTATGATGCTCGTTACTGATGTCCAATCTCTTGAAGGCAATGAGAATAATGCAGGTGCTCCCCCAAGATGCTCTCTTCTCGGCCCTCTCTTCGTTCTACTTCATATTAACACCGAGCTGATCCTGAATTTTCGCCTATGCTGATGAACGGTCACTCTGTCAAGGACGCTCCTTGCCTAGAACGACTATTGGGAACCAAGTTTATAAGAGTTAAGCAACGTCGAGCCTGGTCGTTATCTAGATGGGTGACCAATTGGGAATACCAGGTACTGTAAACATGCAAGTGTTGGTGGTGTAATGGATAACGGCTCGAAATTGGAAATCGGAGAGTCGAGTTTCAATTCCAGTCGGGTTCGTTATATGCGCAAATATTTGAAAGGTATGAATCCATTTCTCCTCCTCCCGACTATGTTTATGTTTATTAGTAGGACGTGTCAGTAAATTGTTATCTTCAAAAGATTCTTACAATCTAAAAATATTTTCTGGATTTAAATAACGCGCAAAAGATTGATAAGCCGTAAAAAAAACAAATGTTTTCAATTAAAATCCAGTCCTTGTGGAACTCATATATACAATCCAACGCTAAAGATGCTAGGAAAATGGTTGGTACCATGTACCTCTTCAGTATATTCCTGACTCCAGCTGTTATGCTCTGTCCTTACTAGAATCATGTCAGACCAAAAATGGAGTATTGCTACCATATCTGTCCTCTCATTCCAACCTTGTCAAAACCTTGAGTTAAAAAACATCTACGCTGCCGAATCATCCTCATCCCCTTCTGTGAGTGATGAATTATTTTCATCCACCCTCTTGGTAAAGAGGAAATATTCGTATTCCATTGGTAAGGAGGAAGTTCTGCCAGTATAGATTTTTACAGCTAAGACATACCATTCCATGCACACTGGGACGAATCAACCCTATTCCAGTTGAATCCCATTGGTAAGGAGGAAGTTCTGCCAGTTTAGACTTTTACAGCTAAGACTCACCATTCCATGTTCATTGGGAGAAATCAACAACATTGCCTTCATATTTCATTGGTAAGGAGGAAGTTCCATGCCAACGAATTTAGATTCCATTTTTCTGCCAGTATAGATTTTTACAGCTAAGACTCACCATTCCATGTTCCCATTGGGAGAAGTTCTGCCAGTTTAGACTTTTACAGCTAAGACCCACCATTCCATGTACCCTGCAACGAATCATCCTCATCCCCTTCGTATTCCATTGGTAAAGAGGAAGTTCTGCCAGTATAGATTTTTACAGCTAAGACATATTCCATTGTTGTATCCCATTGGTAAGGAGGAAGTTCTGCCAGTTTAGACTTTTACAGCTAAGACCCACCATAAGCAACGAATCATCCATTCCATGTTCCATTGGTAAAGAGAAAATCAACAACATTGCCTTCGAATATTTCCCATTGGTAAGGAGGAAGTTCTGCCAGTTTAGACTTTTTACAGCCCCAGTTTCATCCCTTCGACCATTAAAGAGGAAGTTCAGTATAGATTTTTACAGAAGACATACCATTCCATGTTCCATTCCAGTTGTATCCCAGGTAAGGAAGTATCATTTAGACTCATTTCCATTGCATTCCATTCCCTTTGCATTCCATTGGCAAGGAAGAAGTTACTCTCGGAATGCTCCTTTTCAAGAACCGCTATTTTGTGGAACTGGAATGATTGCTTTCTCGTTTAGTTCAATCTTAATCTCTTCAAATCTAGGGTTAACCATTATCTATCTTACATAAGCCCCATAAACTGAACTTCTTGCTTCCTCCCTTTACCGACATTCAGTAACCCTCTACCTTGAGTGGCTCTTTGGCTTTTTTTATTGGGTGGATTAGTAATAAAAAACAACTTGCATAGAGTGGTAAATCTGCTTCATCTGTTAACTTCTTGAGTATTTCCCGTGTCGCAGCGAACTTTTAATACCTGTATCAAAATCACTCCGCCTTGAAATAAAGGTCCTTTTTTTAATATCAAATGTTTCCTTTTAAAAGTTCAGGTAGCTTCAAACTTGAAATAACACCCCAATGAGTAGCACCTCGTAGAGATATCCTGCACAACAGGGTGCTGAAAAAACTTTTTGTCTAAACCTCTACCTCAAAACTGACCAAATAATCAAATATCAGAATTTTTAAAAATCACTTCTTGGTCATGCCAATAACTTTTCAGCATCCTCACATATTACATGCATATATAATGTATTGTACGCGCCCATATGTGTGTGGGTATACGTGTTTGTATATATATATATATATATATATATATATATATGAGAGAGAAGGGAGAAAGAGAGAGAGAGAGAGAGAGAGAGAGTTGTATATGGATAGATAATAGATTAAGCAGTATTCATGCGGATAGGTGTTGAAAGTCAATTAGTAAACAACTTCCTTTTTTGCCCTGATGACCTAAGTGTTCTTTCGACTTGCTTCCGGCCGCACAGAACGCAGCCTGTCAGAAACACTTCCGGTCGCGTCATTTGAAAGGTTTCAGAAAAATGGCAACGTATTTTACTTTTAAAAGAGAATTGAAGTGATTTCTTTTCCATTGGTTTGCTTCTTACTTTTATGTCATTCATTTTTTTTTTTTTTGCTATTCTTTGAAGGGACCTGAATATAGGTAAAAGTAAGGAATTATATTTTTGAAAAAAGGTTTTCTTTCTTTTTATCTTTCTTTCTTTCCCAGTCTGTCCATATCTATCTGAGGCTGTGAATAACTATGGGTATTTAGCGTTTGTGTGTTTTTGGATAAGCCGTATAGTGTGAGAATTGTAGGATGCTATTCTATTCCTTTCAATTTCTTTTCCCGCCACAGTCAAAACCAGGACTAATCATGTTTTTTATATATATCAAAACCCTTAGAATATGCAGCCCAGAACACCTAGATGAACAAGAGAAATACATATAAAAATTCTTTACTACCCATTAAGAGAAGTATTTTCAATGTATTCTTTTCATCGTGTAATTGTTGAGCACTACAAAATCTAAGTGCACTTAATTATGTTTTATGTTAAATATATAAACTCCTTGTGTAGTATAGCGTCACAAACACCGACCTTAGGAAGTGCTTTTAAGTAGAAACCTATAACAACATTAAATTTTATATTGTTATTATAGTGGGAGTAGAAAATATTCCCAATAGCAGGAAAAGGCACCGTGTCAACTGGCTGAAGATACCCAGAATTGGTTTGAGGATTATTATGGAAATCCCCTATGAATGGTGTTCGGCCGACATAAGTCCAGTCACATATTTATGGGAGCCTGAATGTTCGAGAAATTTCGTTCTCCGTCAGGCTATATGACAGATATTTATGGGATACAGGTTCGATTCCTGTTGGAGAACGCAAATTTTCTACTAAATTTCTCGAACGTTCAAGCCGATAAATGTAACGAATAGTTTAATAAAAAAAAACAGACCATTTACTCAAATAAATTATATCTATAAAAATAATGTATAAACAGAAAATATATGAAAATATTTATCGGATTTAATCCTTTTCATCTAATATGTTATCATTTTTTACGTTAGGTTACGTTTCGGAGCAGAAATGAATTGTCGAAAAAGACCGTCGAAGCTGTGTGTTTATAAGCAGTAATTTGGACCCTGCTGACCGGAAAATTCTCCGTGGCAGACTGGTTAACATCACCTCGAGTTATGTGACGGTTTTCTTATGGGATACAGGTTCGATTCTTGTCGGAGAACGCGTAATTTCTCGAACATTCAGGTCGGTACAAGTAATTTTTAATTAAAACACAACATTTACATATATATATATATATATATATATATATATATATATATATATAATCATATATATATACACACATACACACATATATATATAACATATATATATATATATATATATATATAACATGGTTAGTACGTTCGCATCGCATTCTGAGAGACCCGGGTTCGAATCTCACCAAGGGGACTTCCTGATGTTATCGGACGGGAGGGGTCGATCTCAGCGTGCGGCACCATATCAGGGGTTGACCCAAGCCTTGTGAGTGAAATTGGATAGACGGAACCCTTGGTTGCCGTCGACAGATGTGCTAGCACGAAGTCACAAGTCATCGTGGCCTTGTTCAAATTGTTGATCACTCACACTAGATGTTTTTTTTTTTTCCCCAGAAACTGTAACTAGCATAGTTGCTATGGGTGTTGAAGATACAAATGCGCCTGAGCAAGCGTCTGCAACAGGGATTGACTAGCTGCCCTAGTAGACGGGTATCCTCGAATAATGTCATCAATAAGTAATATATATATATATATATATATATATATATATATATATATATATATATATATATATATATATTTTTTTTGTTTAAAAAAATGATTCCTTCGCTACATAAGACTTCTCATGTTTTTCAAAACGAGAGCCGAAACCATCCAGATAATTATTAAAATTAAGTTGAATTGAGTAATTATTTGATGCTTTCGGCTCTCGATTTTGAAACATGAGAACTCTTATGTGGCGAAGGAATCATATTTTTATACAAAAAAAAAATATTATAATAAAGTATGGACTTCTGTATGGAGCACTATCTTCTTAAAAATAAAAGCAAAAATACTAAGGAACTCCGGATTATGCACCCAGCGTGTTCTTTTCTATTTTCTGCATACCTGCGCACTTGTTGTATATATATATATATATATATATATATATATATATATATATATATATATATATAATGAATACCAGATCTTTTAAAACCTAATTAATACAGGATTTTTTATGACCCCTAAAATTTATATTTTTATAATGACGGATTTTGCGATAGACATTAATGGGTTAAGAAAATATTATTCACTAGACGAGAATATTTTTCACTGCTTCCATCCTGCCACCTCTTTCCCACAGACGAATCGACGCAAGCCTTTCGCCATTCTGTCGCCATTTCCTTGAAAAGTCTTCAGAAGAACTACATTCTTTATTTCTATCAGTTCTAACCTTTAAGTCTAAGACTTGCCATGCCAGGCCCATTGTAACGAACCACCCTCATTCCATTCCATTAATGAGATGTAAGTTCTACATGAGCATCTTCTTCCCACGAATCGCTACTTTGTGGAACCGACTCCCAAGAGGATGTCCGATCACTACAATCTTAACCTGTTAAAATCTCGGGTTAATCGTTATCTTCACCACATATCCCCATAAACTGTGCCTCTTACTCTTTAACCCTGTACCTGGAGGGCTCAAGGGGATGCTTCCCTAATCACTACAATTTTAACAAGTCTAGAGTTAACCATTATTTTCCCCACACATCCCCATACACTGTGCCTTTTACTCGGTAACCCTCTATCTCGAGTGGCTCTTGGGCCTTGTAGAAGGTGAACATCATTGTAAAAGAAATATTTGGCATTTATCGGTCATTTTTTAAAATATAAATTACCAAGGTTTTTATTTGTCGGTAAAAAAAGGAAAGGATTTTATTTCTTGTGCAGGTGTTTGTTTTTTTATTGTTGATATTCATGAAATGTATTTTTTATGTCTACTATGGTTTACAAGATGAGGAAGCAGGTAAGGGCATCTCCAGTTGCATTCAGATGTCCAAATTCTTTTCGATGTTTATTCTAGTCAGGAAACTGAAACTTAAGTCGATTTTACTGTTGTTGTTGTTTTTGTTATTGTCGTTGTTTGCCGTAAATCATCCTAATCATTTTCTTTCTTTTTCTGTCCCTCTACTCTGCTTACAAAGCGTTCTTTCTTTTCGCATCTTTCTTTCATTCTTTCTTTCTTTTTTCTTCTTTCTTTCTTTCTTTCTTTCGGTCTTTCTTTCTTTCTTTCTTTCTTGTTTTATTTGTTTCGTTCTGTCTGTCTTTCTTACTTCCTTTTTTTCTTTCTTTATTGCTTTCTTTCTGTTTTTCTTTTTTGCTTTCTGTCTTTTCTTTCTTTCTTTATGCTATTTCTTTTTTTCTTTCTTTCTTCCGTTCTGCTTTTACCTTCTTTCCTTGTGCCATGCAGTCTTTCTTTCTTTCTTTCTTTCTTTCTTTCTTTCTTTCTTTCTTTCTTTCTTGCTATACACTTCCTTCCTTCCTTCATTCCTTCTTTATCTTATGCTTATACTTTTGATTTTTGTTTTTGTCTTCTCTCACTTTGTCTTCCTGTTTTTCTTTCTTTCTTGTTTTTTTTCAGTCTTTCTTTCTTTTTTGCTTTCTGTCTTTTCTTTCTTTCTTTCTTTGTTTTTTTTTCAGTCTTTCTTTTTTGCTTTCTTTCTTTCTTGTTTTTTCAGTCTTTTTTTTTGCTTTCTTTCTTTCTTTCTTTCTTTTTCTTTCTTTCTTTCTTTCTTTCTTTCTTTCTTGCCCGCTTGCTTTCTTGCTATACACTTCCTTCCTTCATCCCTTCTTTATCTTATTCATATGCTTTTGATTTTGATTTTTTCTTCTCCCACTTTGTCTTCCTATTTTTCTTTCTTTCTTTTCCTTACTCTTTTATTTTCTCACTCCTATTTCCTACATTTCTCTTTTTTTTCTTTGTATTTATTTCTTTCCTTTTTCCTTCTTAATATAATATTTTCTTTCTTTTTCTTTCTTTCATATTTTCTTTGTTTCTTTCGGTTTATCTTCATATTTCTTAGTTCATGTCGAAATTTATTAATATAAAGGGTGTTCCAATAACTTGGACCGATTTTAAATGTGAATTAAGTTTAAGCATCTAATAATTTTTCCTTTTTCTTTCAGATTTAACAACTTAAGTCCTTGGCAATTTCAACCATGGAAAGATTAACAATCAAACAACGTGTTAAAGTTATCGAAGCCTATTACGAAAATGGACGTTCAAACAGAATTTGAATGAGAAGTTCCCAGATCGCATCATCTCTCGAAACAGCGAAGTCAATTTGCCACCACGATCGTCCGACTTGACGTTTTTAGATTTCTTCCTTTGGGGTCATTTCAAAAGTAAGGTCTACGCCAACAAAAATTCAACAGCTGAAGGATGAGATAATATGGCACATTGGTGAGATTGAGGAGCAACTATGCAAAGACGTCATCAAAAATTTTGACCATCGAGTGAAGGTGTGCCGCCGAAGCCTTGGCGGACATTTGGGCGATATTATTTTTTTACACATAATTGCCATGACTTAAATAACAAGATCCATGGTCCATAAATAAATTTTCACTAATAACACTTATTATTTACTGCTGAATTTGTTCCGTCTTAATGAAACACCCTTATATATAATATGTCTTAATGAAACATATTTTATTTTTCCCCAGCTTTTCTGTATTGAATTATAAAGAAAAGATGCAGAATACATATGTCTGCTATAATTTGAATCTATTTAATTTGTTTATTTTGTCAAATCTTAACTTATATGTATTTTTTAAGTTTTTCTTCGCAAAAACTACAACTTCTTACAATTCCCCTTATTCCGCTATGAGCAGTTCTTAAGCAATTCACCCCAAGCGAGCCGGGAGTGCCACTAGCATGCAAGGGGTTACAGAGGATTGAGAACAAGAGTAAAGAGGTGTGTTTGAGGAAAGGATACAGAGAAGGACGGGTAACAAGATCAAGGTATCAGAAGATGTCGATTGACATTACAATTGAATAGATTATAGTTATTAAGGAAGCAAGCAAGAGGAAGTGCGAGAGAAGAAGGAGTTTGAGTAGAAGAGACGATTACATTTAAGTGTTTCGACAGTGAAAGGGTGGGGCTGAGATGCCAGCCTAGTAGCTCGCTTAAATTCATGCAATCTGGCAACCAGTAAAAGTAGCTCGTCGGGACAGTTGCCATGAAAATACTTATAGAAGAGACAGACGGAAGTCTTAGCACGTCTGTGGGAAAACGATTGTAGACGAGATACCAGATCAGGACCTATCGCATCTTATGCTATTAGGATTATGACTGCCGATAATAAATACTCGTCATTTATGATCTACTACTCTTCGTTGTATAGGTTTAATAAATCCGATACGAAAACACGCCCTTATCTTACACCTCTTTCTATTTTGGTATGCTTACTCAATGCCTTTTCCGTCTTGGTATGACGATAAACTACACCAGGCAGCAAGACCTATAATCAGGAGGTTTTGTTGTTCCCAGGTCCAAAAGGTCTATGGGTGGTAGCACCCGTTAGGGCCCCAGCTATCGCCAAATAGTGAACCCCCAAAGTGGAGTCAAAACATTATTAAAGTACAAAAATAAATTAGAAAAAATACCAGCAATACACTTTCATGATAAAAAAAAATACCAGCAATATATAATTGGAAAAAAATACCAAAGCTCACAAGAGAATAAAATTTCGGTATTAAATGACCCATAAAAAGTTGATATGCCGTTAAACAAACAAACCAAACCAAACTCTTTTCCTACCTGCATGAAAGCGGTTTGCACCTAGTCGTGGTTTAATCGAATATCTTTCCCATATAAGTCGAGCTTTCCTGGCAGTTCAAATAGGTTTTTGGTGTCTGGGCTTCTTAAATGTTTTTGAGTATTAGCACCTTTGTTTAGGTGTGGCTAGCATGATTAGCAAGTTGCTCTCACAGTTGTAGTTAGTTTGATTTTCATCGTGTGTGCCACGCTTATGACCTTGTGCTGAAATAATCTAAGTTTAATATATATCGATAAACTCCAAATAATGAATTTCTGTTTTTTGTAACATTTGGGAGGAAGCAAGAATTCAAAGCTTCAAGTACACGAGAAGAAAATGACTAAGATTGAATTGTGTCGGTCTTCCAAATGTGGATGCCTTGAATATCATCCAAGATTTTACTTGAGTTCTGTCGCCACCACTGGTGCCAATTGGAAATATCCAATTCTCTCAACCACCAAACAGGCCACTCAACAACCATTCATTTATTTTTTTTTAATAATCTCACTCCAAGAAATGTCACTAAGAAACAAGGGGTTACTAGGAGTGAAAGAGAATGAAAAATCTATAGAAAGATCCGGAAATCCAATCCTAAACAGGGAACTAGGGATAAACCTCTACTCCTGTTCAAAAGACCGAGGAAGAGTGTGAACCTATCTTTTCCTATTGAGAAAAAAATAAAATAAATAATAAATAAAATTTCAGAGTTTAGGCTGAGATTTTAGAAGAATACATTTGAATTAGATTTTAGAAGGAATCGGAAACGCAATCCTAAGCAGGAAACAATTGATTTGACCTCTACGTCATACTGACACACGGAAATGATATAAAATGGAAAGAACAATAAAAGCAGTTATTGCAAGGTTTGCTTTGATTTCAATTCAACAAAAATTATAAACCTCAATCCCCACAGAGGATTGAAGCATACCTGGAACCTTATGATATATGCAACTCGGAATGAAGACTATGTCAAAGACCTTCAGTTATTGAAATACTTTTGTCAGCAGACCCCTACTGGAATCATTAATCTGAACCTGTAAATATCCAAGTATAGATGTAGAGTTTAAATAATGAAGCTCTTTAAAGCCATTTTATCTTCACCCAAGAGACAAAAGATGGGAATCAAGAAGATCGTTGCAGACTGAAAACCGACATTAGAGGTTGATGGTCTGCCATGAGTGAGTAAATGTGTCAATTGATTTTAACTTTAGTTTTAACTGACTAATGAAAATTTAACAAGTTATATCAAATGTCTGGTTGTAATTTTTTGACAGCCTTCCCACGGCCATGTTTGTTAAGTAGGCGTTGGGCTTTTATTTCATCCACCCAAGGCACTTTCGAATCCACCCTTAATATTCCTTTCCTTGGTCTTGCTAGCATCAAAGGACGAAGCAGAGAATACGGACAGGCGATGAGCAGAGGAAACGACACAGAGAGAGAGAGAGAGAGAGAGAGAGAGAGGAGACGGGAGAGAGAGCAGGAGAAAGAGAGAGAGGAGACGGGAGAGAGAGCAGGAGAAAGAGAGAGAGAGGGGAGGAAACGAGAGAGAGAGAGAGAGAAAGGGGAGAAGGGAGAGAGAGCAGGAGGAAGAGAGAGAGAGAGAGGGAGGAAAGGAGAGAGAGGGTGGGTATTTAAGCAAGCGATGCAGACGACATTACTTTTGACTAGGGTAAAGAACGCTACTATAAACACGACTTACGTATCGTCGGCTTAGTTGTTGGAGTTAAACGTAAATCCCATCTGCTATTTGAACAAATTCGTAAGCCCCCCACCCCCGACTCTTTTTAAAATTTCTCTTTAATAGTGAAACCAAAAAAATAAAAATAAAAAAAATAAAGAAGAAAAGAAAAAAGAAAAGAAAACTGAGTCTTGTCTGCGGAATTGGCGATGTAGTATTTGCTGGAAGCAAGCCGTTGGAGTCTGTGGAGACACAAGCAGTATCTCAGAAAAACGGTGACATAAGACTTCACTTATAACTAGAAGCTAAACGTCTTTTTTTTTGCCTGTTCGTATATAAACACTCGCAAATTAGCAGTTTAGAAAAATCGTTCCAATCAATTTAAATTCATTTTGAAATGGAGCAAAGTATTTTGCATATTGGAAATATTAAATTTAAACTATTAGCATGAAATTAAAACTAAAATAAGAGCTTCATGAAATATTTTTAATTTAAAAAATAATTTTTAAACCTTAGGTATCACTTTTCTTTGGCTGTACTTTTATTATTATAAATAAATAAAAATAAAATATAAAAATAATAATGAAAACCATAAACATTTAAACTTTGTTTAAAATACATAAATTAAATGAAAAGTAAAAATAATAAAAATTTCTCCCAGCGTGCAACAAAAACTGTTCCTATCGGAAATACGGATATCCCACTGAAAGACGTTAAACTTAATCTCTTCGCTACGAACCCTTGGACAGCCCATAAGTCTAACTTTCCTCTCCCTATGACATGGCGTGTTACAGAGTGACTTCTTCCTTTTAACACATGCACCATGAAACAATTAACAACCAAAAAATTAAAACACACAAATACACTTTTATTTTTCTCAAAAGGCGTCTCTGATATATCTTTTCTTTCATATTTCATCGCAATTTCAACAGAATGGTTCATTATCTATATAAGGTAATAGCTGGTTGATAACTATCTCTATAGATTTATGCTTGAAAAATTTTTCTGCAAGGCACATATCTATAAAAATGTATTTGATGAACATGAACGCTTTTTATATGACTTTTTAACTACCCAGTAATATTAAAAATTTAGGAAAATGTCTCCGTAATCTAATGTTTTATTAAATACTTTGACTTTAGATTTACTACAGTTACCGCTCTTATTTTCTGATAATGTTCTGTATGCACGCCCGTATTTACAAACATCGACACGTTTATACATACACATACAAAAAAAATATTAAAAAATTATTGGGAAGGAGTCTCTGAATTGTCGTAAGCTTATCCATTTATGATCACGTAACTGCTACAAATTAATTTTAAAAGAATTAAACCTTTATAAATTATTCTAATTCAGGTTTTTTAAACTGTAAACAA